ATTTATAATCTTTCAGAAGGAAGGAAGTCTAATTCTAATTTTAACATTTCAAATTATTAACACGCTGGAGTTTCGTTAGAAACACCATTTGAACTTTCCTTAATTTATTCAATATATATATATATATATATATATATATATATATATGAATTTTTAAATTAATTTTTTAAGCCAACATTATTTCTCATTGCAACATATATTATTTTAATACATGCACACACACACACACACACACACACACACACACACACACACACACACACATATATATATATCATATATATTTATATATAGTTTATATATAGAGAGAGAGATAGGAACAGATTGAAATAGAGAGATAGTAAAAGCGGAAGATACATACGTATCATATGAACAGATTTAGATAGATAGGCAGACAGATAGATAGATAAGCATGTGCTCCTATTAAAATAATATCTGCTGTAATAAGTAGTAATGTCGTCTTAAAAATCATTTAAGAATAAATTATATATATATATATATATATATATATATATATATATATATATATATATATAAATATAAATAAAAAGAACAGTAAGATATATAATCCCGTGTTCTTATAGATATTTTTATTTTTACAAAATAGTGCTCAATGTAAATTTACAGAGCATTAATATTATAAATTAATTGATTTAAAATATGATTTTTTTTCGCTACACAGTTCTAACCATGTTTCAAAAATGGAAGCTTAAAGCTTCGAATTTAATTTTGTAATTAAATTAAAGACAGTTCCATTTTATCCTCAAGTTCAATGAAATGTGATAATTTAGTTCCCGCAATGACCGGTGCTGATTGAGTAATGAATCAGGCAAACAGATAGATAGATAGACAGACAGACCGACATATAGATAGATAGATAGATAGATAGATAGATAGATAGATAGAAAGAAAGAAAGAAAGAAAGAAAGAAAGAAAGAAATGAAATCAAAGTTAATATATCAATAAATTAAATGTACTGTAAACTTGACAAAGAATTTCTCTTTGGTTTGATTTACAAAATAAAAGATTAAAAACATGTAAAGCTTTCTAACATCATATCCCTTTTTCTTCACATGTGCAATTATTTTTCTCACAAATATTTGGAAATTTAAAAAAAAGAAAATATTTCAACGTCGAATTACTCGTGTCAAAACTATAATCCGTTCAGCAAATCGCTCAGGAAATCACGAAGGAATTTAAAAATCTCAAATTCAAATATTTTTTCCTCGATCAAATTTTACAAAAATATTTAATTATAGCGAAGGCTCCAAGAGAAATACGGACAACATTATTGAGAATTGGCGTATTAAATTTATAAAGGCTGTGTAATTCTTTGCAATTCCTGTAGTTAATTTACCCTTATACCAAACTATGAAAAGATGAATGACACAAACAAAGATGTATTTTGAAATTGGCTCTATGGCGGTTGGTTTTTTTCCTTTTTTAATGTTTGTCTTTTAATTTTTTTCTGTTTCACTCCCGTCTTCCGATTAAGACGTCTTTTTAAAAACAAAATCGCCTGTCAATATTTTCAAGGATACGATTTCGTTAAAGACGTCAGCAAATGTTTGTCTGATTGTTTGTGTGCGTTATCTCTGCTGACTGAGGAGGAGGAGGATATTCCCAGCGAAAATATCGTGGAACGGCTTTATAGTTTAGATATAGGTATCTACTTCCCACCGATGTCGATATTCGTGCTCGTTTCTGATCAGGAAACTCAAATACGTACGAATTTTTAAGAGGTGAGAACTGATTTTAAGTTGATCAGGAAGCCAGATCCTCATCATCAGTCAGTTACATTGCCATGCGTGATACACGCTTAGGTGATCATGTATCTTTCGATACATGACTGACGAGGCAGATTTTTTTTTACCGTAGTAGGTTGCTATTTCTTTCTGCAGTAGACCAGTTGCCATCCAATGCTATAGAACCCGGTCTGTCCTGCTATTTACTCATAGCTTGGGGGGGGGAGTCAGTTATGTGCCATGCGTGATACACGCTTAGGCGATCATGTATCTTTCGATACATGACTAACGACGCAGATTTTTTTCTTGCAGTAAGTTGCTTTTTTTTTTGTGCATTAGACCAGTTGCCATCCAATGCTACAGAACCCGGTTTGTCCTGCTATTTAACCATAAGTGGGCGGAAAAAGTCACTCATGTGTCATGCATGATACACGCTTAGGCGATCATGAATCTTTCGATACATGACTGACGAGGCAGATTTTTTCCCGAAGTAGGTGTCCATTTCTTTCTGTCGTAGACCAGTTGCCATCCAAAGCTATAGAACCCGGTCTGCTATTTACCCATAGGTGGAGGAAGAGGATTCATACCTTTTCGTATGTGAATGGATTCGACTGGAATTCAAACTCGACATTTTTCAAATTGACCTAGTATCTGATTGAACTAAACTTATTGAATATTATGCTATTGCTGAACATTTATTTTGATCTTAGATCAGTGTTTATAGCACACCTGCTTATCTGCATTTTATTTTTATTAAATGAAATATTGACAATAATTATTATTAATTTTTACTATTATTTTCTTTCGTCTTTTAATAATAATGGCTGATAGATTCGTCATCAAAAATAGAATAAAAATAATACCACTGTTAGTAATACTTCTTTTTTTACTAAAAATTTACTAAAAAATTTTTTCAGAACGCAGGTATTCATGGCCCTCCACAGTTTCCTTTTCTTTATTATCTGTGAATTGCAATGACTTCCTGGAAAAGATAGTGGGATGGTTTCCTGTTGCCTTCACAGTTTTGAATTCAGATCCTTCCTTCTAGATTGGCTGCCACGTAAGGCTAAAGAGCGCTCTTCCGTGGGGAAAGGGAAGAAATGAATTCATGCCTTACCGAAAGGACTTAGTACGAACGAAACAAACTAAGCTGGAATTCGAACTCCTCTCGCCGATTTCACCTTCAGCGCCGATAATCTTTACCCTAGCCGTACACACACATACTAATATTTTTCCTCTTCTATCTGCGTATTATGTCCCTTCAGAACGTGGGAGATCATGGCTCTCCACAATATCCTATCCTTTGTAACCCTTAGTAAATTTTGTCTTTTCGCTATCTCTCCTAAACCATGTTCTGTAAACCATTTACTCATGCTCATTAGATAGATTAGTTTTTGCCCTTGTCCCTCTTGCTTTCAGTATATCCTGTTATTTAACCGACAACTGATATAAACCACATATCTCTTAGATATATATCTTTCACAAGACACCTAATATGCATACACACAATCACAAACACAGGCACACACACACGCGCGCGCACACATATTATATAATATTTATAAACAGTTAGAAAAACATTTTAAAAACATGTGGCCCAACACCACCCGAAGAAGCACATGCAGTGCAGAAACATGATTGCATCTCTGAAGCGGTTTATAACATTTTTTTTATAACTATTAATAAATATTATTATTAATGTCTTTTTAAAAATATAATGTTTGGACATATTAAGCTACCTTACACTTGATATATATATATATATATATATATATATATATATATATATATATATAATTATTTATTTAAAAATATAAGAGGTCTCATGTTTAAAACATGAGACCTTTATGTCGCGAGTTGAAATCATATTTTTAAATAAATAATTATATTTATGCTCTACTTTTGTATCGAGCACTATTTTTTAAAAATAATAACTAAAATACTAAGGAACTTTGGATTATTTACCTAACCAGTTCCTTCCTATTTTCTATATATTTCACACACACACACACACACACACACACACACATATATATATATATATATATATATATATATATATATATATATATATATATGTCTGTGTGTCTGTGTGCATTTGTGTGTGTATGTATGTGTGTGTTTGTGTTTGTGCGCGCGTGCGTGTGTGTGTTAAATTTCTCAGAATAAATCTGCAGAGAAGACATATATATACATATATATATATATATATGATACCTGACCATTCGTATTCGAGGATACCCGTCTATTAGGGCAGCTGGCCAATCCCTATTGCAGAAGCTCGCTCAGGGACATTCGTGTTTGCTCAAACCCACAGAGCCAACCTGCGATTTATACTGCAACTATGCTGAACAGACCTTAGTTGCAGTTTCTGGGAGAGAGCGTGTTATCTAGCGTTATCAACAATTTGAAACCCTCGGTCACGATGACTTGTGACTTCGTATATATATATATATATATATATATATATATATATATATATATATATATATATATATGTGTGTGTGTGTGTGTGTGTGTGTGTGTGTGTGTGTTTGCGCTCGCGTCAGTGTGTATGTGTATGCGTGTGAGTGTCTTTGTGCGCGCTTACGCGTACATACGTGTGTGAGAGAGAAAGAGCGCGTGAGAGAGGAGGCAAGAACTTATACTCGAGAGTATACTGATCCAAGTTTCAAGTAGGGTTGATTGTGTTTGATTGATATGTTTTTTTACGACTTATCAACCCCTTGTGGGTTATTTAAAGCTGAAACAGATTTTGGATTATAGGAGTCTGTTTATCGTTCAACTGGGGGTTGAAGAAGCAACAACTAAAAACAACCTTCAATCAATGTGCAAATACAAACTTGTGGAATAGATCAACATGAACGCTAGCTCCCCCACCCCCACCCTTAAAGAGGATGCCATTAAATGGAAGACCAGATTTAACATAGGGCCAAAACCCTATGTTAAAAAAAAAGAAAGAAAATTTCGGCTTAAAAGTCAGGAACTAACTGGAATAATTTAAGAAATAATGAAAATACGAGCATGGAATTATTTCGACGGGGGCGCGTAAGGATGTCATAAATCCGTTTTTTTTTTTTTTGGTATTAATCTCCAAGTGGATGTCATTATGGTCAGATAATGGAGGTGCGTCTGTAAGTAGAAATCTTCGCATCTGCGAATTTCTATTGCCGCAGTTCGGCGTTCCTGCGAGTTTATGCAGGCGTATGCATGCATCTGGGCCAACACTTATTTACATGTGTGGCTAATATCGTGTCAAATCCAAAAGCCTACGGGAACCCGGGCAGAGAGGAGAAGAGGAAGGAGAGAGGCCTGGGCAGACCTTAGCCGCCGGGCGTTCTGCCACCCTCTTCCATGCACTACCCAAGACAGGCTGTCAAACAGCAGGGAAAGGGTAGGCGGGTGGCAAGCCTCGCCAAAGTAAGGCAGCCTTACAGAGCATAGAAAAAGAAAGAAGATAGGTGTGAAATTGTGAAGGGATGTCAGGAAGGGGGACGGGCGAAGTTGGAGTCGGGTTGGAGTGGAAGAGGGTGGACGATTTGGGTGGATGTTAGGGGTGACGGCGTAGGGAGGAGGAGGAGGAGGACGACGACGACGATAAGGAGGAGGAGGAGGAGTGTTAGACTTTGCTCTTATCCCCTGGCTCCACACCGACGGTCGTCACCGGGAGGCCGGGAAATTTTGTAATGTGTGATGTGCGTGTTGTGTGAGTTGAAGCTTGTGAAAGTAAAAGTTGGACTAAAAGAAGGAAAAAAAAAGAAAGAAAAAAAGAAGCAACCCAAGGAAAGAGTGAGTGGGAGAATGAGAAAGAGAAAGAGAGAGTAGATGATTAAGAGATATAAAAGGAAGGCGAAAGTAAGTGAGAGAGATAGAGTGTAAGTGAGTGAGTGAGTGAGTGAGTGAGTGAGTGAGTGAGTAAAAGAATGAAAGAGAGAAAGAAAGGGTGGGAAGCGAGATTGTGAGAGAAAAGTAATGATTGAGAGATAGAAAAGAAGGTAACTGTGTTTGAGTGAGAAAGTAAGAGAGAGAAAAGGACGAGGAGATAGAAAAGGACAGTGACTAAGAAAGAAAGGGAGGGTGAAAGAGAGTAAGATAGTGTGTATGAGTGAGAATGTGTGTGACTGTGTGAATGGAAGAGAATGATAAAAAGTGGGTAGTGAGAGATTAAAAGAGCAAACGAGTGAGTGATTAAGATATATATATATATATATATAGATAGATAGATAGATAGATAGAGAGAGAGAGAGAGAGTGAGAGAAAGAAAGAAAGAAAAATGTGAGAGAAAACAGAAAAAAAAGGAAGAACAAGAATGAGTGAGAGAGACACTGAGAAAGAGGAACAGAGAATAAAAAACAGAAAAGGAAAGTGAGTGAGTAAGAAAGAACGGATGAAAATAAGTAAGAGAAATAGAGAGTTTGAACGAGAGAGTAGGTGTGAGCATTTTAGTGAAATAATGAAAGAGAGTTCAAAGAGAGAAACGGAGAAAGAGATTGGGAGAGAAAAAAAAAAAGCGGGAAAAGGAAGCGAGAAAAGGAATAAAGTGTAGAATTAATGAGAGAAAGATAGAATCAACGAAAAGTAAGAGGGGGAATAAAAGGAGGAGAAAGAAAGAAAGAAAGAAAGAAAGAAAGAAAGAAAGAAAGAAAGAAAGAAAGAAAGAAAGAAAGAAAAGAGAGGACGAGCGGTGAAAGGAGAGGGGCAGAAGAAGGAAATAATAGAAATCGGAAAATAATAGTGTGTGGAAGAAGAAGAAGAAGAAGAAGAAGAAGAAGAAGAAGAAGAAGAAGAAGAAGAAGAATAAGAAGAAGAAAGTGAAAATGACAAGAACGACGACAATGAAAAAAAGATGGAGAAGAAGAAGAAAACAACGAAGAAGGAGAAAAAGAAAAAAAAACAAAATGACGATGAAGAAAAAGACAATGAAAACTAAGAAGAAGAAGAAGAAGAAATATGAAGATAAAAAGAAAGAATGAATTGAAATGAAAAATTGACAAAAATGTATGGAAAGCTAAGTATTGAAAAAATCAAAATAATGTGAAGGAAAAGTGCTGGAAGATTAAGATATTAAAAAAAAAAAAAAAATATATTGAGAACCGTAAAAAATGCATATTCAGAAATTTTAAAAAAAAAAAAAAAGATCGGAGAACTGATGATTTTCAAAATCGGGGTAAATGTCTAAGGTGTAATATATATATATATATATATATATATATATATATATATATATATATATATATATATATTTATATTCATATATATATATATATATATATATATATATATATGTATAGATATATATATATATATATGTATATATATATATATATGTATATATATATATATATATATATATGTACGTATGTATATATATATATATATATATATATATATATATATATATATATATATATAATCAGAGAGAGGAAATTAAAAAAGAAAGACTAACAAAAAAGCCAAAAAAGAGAAAAAGATACATAAACGAAAAATTTTTTAGGTGCGGACGACAAAAAGTATCTATCTATCTATCTATCTATCTATCTATCTATATATATATATATATATATACACACACACACACACACACACACATATATATATATATATATATATATATATATAGAGAGAGAGAGAGAGGGGGGAAAGAAAGATATGGGGTATATGCTGTCTGTTGTAGACCATCCACCCATCCCTGTATATATACCTCATCATTTTCTGGCTGCCTTCATTGCTAAGTGTCAATTAAGGGGGCAAATGTCCTGCCGCCCAAAGAAAAAAAAAACAATTAAATAACGCAACTCCCGACATTACGATAACTGACGTACACTATATTTAACAGATTAAGTCTAGTACGACTCATGCTCAAACAAAATAAAGAGCGTTTGGAAGCCGTGGAAATCATATATATATATATATATATATATATATATATATACCTTCATGTGTTATACATTAGAATTTCGAACCGAACACTTTATTTAGTCCACGGGGGTGGGAGTGAAAGTAGTTTGTTCTCGTTCCACGTGCCATGCCTTTTCTGGATATCTCAGTTTCAGTTATTTCCCTTAACTCGACTCTCCAAATTTTTTTCCACCTCTGCTGTAGCCAGGTATCGAACTCACAACTCTTTAGATCAAGTCGCTGGAGTACTTCATCACTTTTATCCACTTGGGTTTGAAGTAGGTCAGAGCGTACAATGGCGGAAACGTCGTGAATATGACAATAAAGATGAGGACAACAGTCCGAACAATGTAAATAGTGTAAATAGTTACAATACAGAAATAAAAAACAGAGTTAATAATCGGTTGGTGCAAAGTTAAGTGAATATGGCGGATGGGGATAGAACAGACCAGCCGAGTTCCATTTTTTTTTGTGTTATTCAGGCTGTATGCGGCCTTGCGTTGTCATAGAGAACAATATTTTTTCCTACTGACGAACATAGGGAGCTGTTTGACAAAAAAATTATGAACACGTGGCGGCTACCGGACTATGAATATGCATTTAGGGTTTCACAGCATTTTAAATAACTAATAGCCCAGTAATCCCACTACAGGTACGACATTAGCTTTTGATATCGGTTGTGGAATTTTATCGTTGTCTTTTTGGCCAAACATTAATGGACATGTTGCGGTCGCTGGACGTATGAATGTGCATTTAGCGTTTCACTGCATTTTAAATGAATAATAGCCTAGCGATTCCACCACTGCTTCGACATTCTTCGATGGAGTTTAGTTTTTGGTATCGGTTGTGGAAATTTATCCTTGTCTTTTGCTTTGCACATTGTCTTATACTAGTGCATTCCAAATTTGTCGAATCATTTACCATCCTCTATTTCAGTTCAGCCTGAAGTATATTAATGAGCGTTCTTAAATTTTAAAATTCTTAAAAAACTAACTTCATTATATATATATATATATGTGTGTGTGTGTGTGTGTGTGTGTGTGTGTGTGTGTGTGTATATATGTATATATATAATCAGAGATATATATTCATATATATATATATATATATATAATCAGAGGTATATATATATATATATAATCAGAGGTATATATATATATATATATATATATATATATATATATATAAACTTATCAATATATATTTAGTTATGTCTGTAGCCAGTCTAGGAGATTCTAAACTCTTATAAGAAGCGCGCCGTGCAGTAGACAAAATAAAATACTGTTTAAAATAAACGGAGCGTCTATTAAAAGTATGGGCATCCAAAAAAAAACTGCCAATAATCAGAATCGAAGTGTAGTATATGTGCGCTCTTATAACTTTTTAGACACACATATATATATATATATATATATATATATATATATATATATATATATATATATATATACGAGAAAATATATGAGAAAATATCAAACGAGTCTAAAGGATAGAATTGCACCAGGTTTTCAAAATGCACATTTTCAGAGGCCACACGTCAGTAGATCTATAGAGATGAACAAGCCCCCCTTTCTCATTTGGCTTGAGAGTCCACGCGATCTGGCGATCGAGTAATGACCCTGAGATCCACATTCCTTGAAATGTGAAGTTAGGATCTTCTAAACCTCAACAGCTTCGCTATGGGGCGCTACATTGCTCCGTATCGCTGTCACGTGACTCACTGTGGATGATAAGGCGTGTCAGAAATTAGAAACGCATCACAGCCCAAATTAGCGCGCGTATTGCTTCGTAATCAAAAGTGACTGACATGTCAACATGAAACACTCGGCAGTGGTTCATTTGGTAGAGACGTCGTTTCACCGCTTTCGGGAGAGCTCCAGGCTTCCGGGAGAAATGATTTGAATTCTGAAAGGAATTCTTTTAAAATGTACACAAATATAAATTCGTTCTCTATTTTAAAATATTTTTGTGAGTTTATAGACTCGCTTTCTATCAGTAAAAGAACCGCAAGCGCGCGCGCACACACACACGCATACAAATACCCACATACACACACGCGTACATATATACATATATCTAATACAGAAAGGTTAATGGTCAGAGTTCATTTATATATTTATATTACCCTTGCTTTTCCTTTCTTCCCCTATTTCTTCTTCTTCTTCTTCTTCTTCTTCTTCTTCTTCACATCCTCCTCCTCCTTTTCTATCACACCCAATGTCATGCATATGTATATTTATTTTTTTTAAATAATATAGTGTTCATTAGGTTTTTGTTTATTTTAAATAAAGAGCTTTGAGGTTAATTGATAAAGATCGCCTGAAGATAAGGTAAGGCTGAAACCAAGGTAGTAGATTCAACTGATCTCCTAATTTTTAAAGTTATATATATATATATATATATATATATATATATATGTATTCTTTTCCAGTGAGACCTAGCTCCGTGCAACCGTTTTACACATGAACTCACTTTGGATTATTTTGAACTGCAGTGTTGCCTACCACCGAGTAAAAAAAATGAAAGGATGTGGTCAACAAAAACATGACTAAGACGGTCGAATGTACTTCAACAAAAAACAGCAGAAAACATGAAATTCGGAAAAATTTATCTGAAATTTAATATATATATATATATATATATATATATATATATATATATATATACATGATAGGGAAAAAACTTTATTCTTCATATAGTGTGTATATTATGTATATTTCTTAATATATATTAAATAGCTCTATTATTTAACATCGCTCGCTCGTACATCTATCTATATTTTATATTTACCCATTTTTATATATATATATATATATATATATATATACACACACGCACGCACACACATATAAATACACACACACACACACACATATATATATATATATATATATATACACAAATGGGTATATATATATGTGTCCAAATGCAGACAGATGTACGAGCGAGCGATTGTATACAAATACATCTAAATACTCTATAATGTATATATATATATATATATATATATATATATATATATATATGTGTGTGTGTGTGTGTGTGTGTGTGTGTGTGTGTGTGTGCAATAATTGAAGGTTTTAGCTCTTGTTTTTGAAACATGAGAACTCTTATGTAGCGATGGGACCATATTTTTAAAAAATAATTATAATATATATATATATATATATATACTCGACTCTCCCGTCCAATTCGACGTATGAGGGTCAAGCAGATCAGTTCCTACGAACCGACAGCCCGCACATTAGTATGGTGAAGGTTTTGTGCACAACCATCTTGAAGGGCCGAATACAGAGGCCTAGTGCACTACGTGCCACAAGGTCCCCAACGTTTTGAATTCTGAGTTGTCCTTCTCCACCTAAGTCTATTTACCCATAACTGGAGGGAGAAGAAGAGGATTCATAGCTTTCGTGAGTGAATGTAATGGATTCGACTGGAATTCGAACTCGGCTCTCTGATTCCTCAGTCCAAGCCGTTATCCATTACCGCGCCTCTGTTATATCTTTATTATAATAGATTATAATCAAAACATTTTAAGATCGTTACACAAAAGCTTTCAGTTTTCAATATTGTAATTGTATTTCTTCAGGCGATGATAAATAACTGGTGAGTAAATGACTTTTAAGGAAATTTAAAAACAGTGTTACTTTTTTTACCGAAAGTTAAAGTGGGAGGGGGAATTAGGTCAGAATTACAAATAAACTTGTCGGTATGTCTTGATTAACCAATTAAATATCAGATGTACGTTAAATAGAAAATTAAGGTCAGTAGGTGGAGGGTGAGTTATTTTTTCATGTCACAATAAACAATTGTGGAATATATATATATATATATATATATATATATATATATATATATATATATATATATTCATTCGTTTCATTAAATAATAGACAAGTGTTGTCTATTTATTTTATGTAAATACTTTCTTAACGTCTGATATGTTTAATAACATCATACTTATTATAAAACCCAGGTTGTGTGTGTGTGTGTGTGTGTCTTTATATATTGGATCGGATTTCCTACATTTTTCAACCGATTTCAACAAAACTTCACAGGACTACGTAAAATTATCTTGCGCTGGTTCTAATAGCGCCAAAAATTGGAAAAACACAATTGTTTTTGCACGAAATCAATTTGAAAACACGATTAAGAGGTATTGCGAGAATGAAAGGGGGACAACTCATATCGAGTTATACTTATTATAAAACCCTGGTTCTTTGTGTGTGTGCGTGTATGTGTGTGTGTGTGTGTGTGTGTGTGTTTATATATGGGATCAGATTTCCTACATTTTTCAACCGATTTCAACAAAACTTCACTTTTTTTGGCAGGTAGTGTTTCTTATTGTTTTGCACACTTTTTCTTTATTTTTACATTCAGAATGCTTTAAAAATTCCATTTACAAGACAATTGTTTATAATAAAATTCTATTCATTCGATAGATTCATAACGATTGAAAACAATGTTTTTTGTTTGAGTTTGGGTTTGACCAATTCGTAAAAAAAAACAAACAAAAAAAAAAAAACTAATTAAGACATGCGTGTCCGTCAACCTTAAACAATAATCTTTGTCAATTTTATTTTTCAGTCTTTATGATGGTCGATACTTGATCTATCTCTTACTGTTACATCCCAGGGCAACGCCGGGCTCTACTGCTAGTTATCATTAAACGAAGAAAGAAATTCACAATATTGATCCATATTCTTTAATCCAATCTAAGTTTTCGGCTTACATAAGCCATTATCAAAGATGTCAATTACAACATATTAAGCAATATACGGACAAGACAATGATGATAGTCTGCTATTTTTTACATGGATGATTTCCAAGCAAAGATAAACACGTGCATGTAAGACGCTAGAAACGAAAATCGCACCGCATCTCATGACGTCACACATGACCCCACGAGAGTGAATTGGAGAAGTATGAAGTATGGGAAGCCATTGGTATAAACCAATGGCTTCTGTTACCAATTATAGACATTTAAGGATATATATATATATATATATATATATAGGATTATGTGAGTAAAAGAAGTTTATCATTTAGCTGACTGATGTTACCTTCAGCATACTGACTTCAGTGTTTCGTAGACAGACCTGTTTATTCACTCTTCAGTGGGTATCAACAATTTACTACTTATATTCGATTTTTCCTTGTTATACATCTATCATTGACGTGAGTTTTATATGATAAAAAAATATAGTTTTATGGTATGCTATATTTATAAGTAAAAGTGCTCAATGTCAGAGATAGAGCTTATAAAAGTGGACGCTGATATCAACACTGAGTGGCGACAATCTGTTTTATGAACGCAATCTTCGAGCCATTTCTCTCTCTCTCTCGGAACAGTCTCGGGGTTGATTTCAATGTCCACTTATGTATTGGATTAATACAAATAGAATTTGCAACTTAACTGATTAATGTTGTATTCAACACCTCAACACGAGAGTTTTGTAGACGAACTCTTTTTGTAATTGTTCAGTCCTGTTGTTCGTGAGGAGGTTTCAAAAATTGTCTGGCGTTTTTTCTCATTTTTCGTTATCTTTATAATAAGTTTGATGCAATTAAAATGTGTATATGTATATATAACGTATATTTATGCAGCAAGAATTCATTAAAATCATTTTTTTTTAAATGGACTGGCAAGATATTCTCTGTATTATCTTTTAATATATTTTTCCACTTGGTGCTTAATTTGTTGAACATCCTGATCAAATATATGTTGAACCTGTTGGAATAGATTTTTGTGCATGTATTTACGACAGTTGTCAGTAATATTATTGTTATTAGTTCTTTTTCTTTTTTTCTTCTTCTTCTTCTTCTTCTTCTTCTTCTTCTTCTTCTTCTCCACCTCCTCTTCTTCTTATTTTTCTTCTTCAATCTTCCTTCTCTTCTTCTTTCTCCGCCTCTTCTTCATATTCTCCTTCTCTCTCCTTCTCTCTCCTCTCCTTCTTATTCTTCTTCTCTCTCCTTCTCTCTCCTCTTCTTCTTATTCTCCTTCTCTCTCCTTCTCTCTCCTCTTCTTCTTATTCTTCTTCTCTCTCCTTCTCTCTCCTCTCCTTATTATTCTCCTTCCCTCTCCTTCTCTCTCCTCTTCTTCTTATTCTCCTTCTCTCTCCTTCTCTCTCCTCTTCTTCTTATTCTCCTTCTCTCTCCTTCACCTCCTCTTCTTCTTATCTTCTCTATTCTCCTCTTCTCTTATTCTCCTTCTCTCCTCCTCCTCCTCTTCTTCTCATTCTCCTTCTCTCCTTCTCTCTCCTTCTCTCTCCTCTTCTTCTTATTCTCCTTCTCTCCTCCTCCTCCTCTTCTTCTCATTCTCCTTCTCTCTCCTCCTCCTCCTCTTCTTCTTCTCCTCTCTCCTTCTCTTCTTCTTACTCCTTCCTCTCCTTTTCTCTCCTCTTCCTATTCTCCTTCTCTCCTTCTCCTCCTCCTCTTCTTCTTCTCCTTTCTCTCCTCTCCTCCTCTTCTTCTTATTCTCCTTCTCTCTCCTTCTCTCTCCTCTTCTTCTTATTCTCCTTCTCTCTCCTTCTCTCTCCTCTTCTTCTTATTCTCCTTCTCTCTCCTTCTCTCTCCTCTCCTTCTTATTCTCCTCCTCTCTCCTTCTCCTCCTCTTCTTCTTATTCTCCTTCTCTCTCCTTCTCTCTCCTCTTCTTCTTATTCTCCTTCTCTCTCCTTCTCCTCCTCCTCTTCTTATTCTCCTCCTCTCTCCTCTTCTTCTTATTCTCCTTCTCTCTCCTTCTTTACTTCTTCTCCCTCCTCCCCCTTCTTCTTCTTCTTCGTTCCGTTTCCCTTCAGGATTTTGGTGATCCTAGCTCTCTATAGCTTCCTATCACTTGTGACCCTTAGCAGCCTTTCTCCCTTGCCAAGACCCCTCGTCTGATAAGTGACTCGTTCCCTGTTCATGTCCCTCTTGTCCTCGATATGCTCTGTGAGGATTATAATCTCCAATCACTCCTCCCTCGTTATATACCCAAGAAAATTCAGCTGTCTCTTTCTGATTCTGAGCATAAGCATTCTTTTCCGTCACCATTTCTGTTAAGACTTACAACAGAGAAAAAAGAAAAGAAAAAGTCTTATCAGTGTCATTCTGACGTTTTCTTATTGGCCCTTTTCAAAATACCACATTTCTAACTTAAATCTACGCCTATCGTATATGAATCACGTCATGTGTGAAATGATTTGTAACTATACGCTGGACACTTTCTCCATAAATGTGATCCGTATGCGCGACAATTAAATAAATAAATAAATAAATAATGGGATATATTTAAGACATTTTTTTATGTTTATACGTTCTTTTTATACATACAAATATTTAAGTAAATGCTCTGTTTATAAATATTGAATAAAATATTTGTATCTATAAAAAAACGTAAAAACATTAAAAAATGTCTTAAAAATAATTGTCGGACTTTCTCCATTTCATATTATGGGATATAGTTTACGGCCTTGTTGGTCTATTTCTTTCTTTTTTTCTTTCTTATTTTTGTTTTTCTTGGTCTTATTATTATAATTATAATTAGCAAAGTACCAGTAAAAAATGACTGAGATATTCGCTTATGGATCAGCACTGTCGTTTAGGATTAAAATATCTGTACACCTTTCACGACCCTCAGTCAGTGATCGGTATTGAATCCATTCACTCCGATTCGAATCAATGTGCTGCTCATCGGCACTTCTTCTAACGAGTGTAGTATCAGTGCTCTCTATGTAGTATCTGTGCTGTCTGTGAAAAGTGATGCACACACAAAGATATATATATTATTATTATTATTACTATTATTATTATTATTATTATTAGTAGTAGTAATTGATAGCGACTCGGATTGAGGAATCAAGAGCCGAGTTCGAATTCCAGTCGAATCCATTACATTCACTTTCCTTGGGAAAGGTATGAATCCTCTTCTTCTCCCCCCCTCATCTCCGGTTAAGTGTAAATAGCAAGACAGGCAGGGTTCTATAGACTTGGATGGCAACTGGGTTACTGCAGAAAGAAATGGCAACCTACTGCGGGAAAAAAATCTGCCTCGTCAGTTATGTATCGAAAAATACATGATCGCCTAGGCGTGTATCATGAATGGGACATAACTGAATTATGATATACTAACTGAGAATAATTCGACGGACAATCAGAAATCGCCAGCACTTTCCCCCATATTAGAGATGTTGGAACCGTCTTATCTCGTGTTCGACTTACCATTTCCCCGAAGACATAAGGAAGATAGTGACGTTACGCACAGAAGCTTAGCAAGGAAAGCCGTATCAAGTTTGGAAAGAGCGATAAGTGTTAGTGGACTTGAGAAACCTATTTTCTTGAAAAATTGGTTTTAATAAAAAGCTTTTATAAATTTCACCTGACCGTAGCACTGGCTGCTCGGCCACCGAATATTTCCTGATAAGGAAACGTTTAATATTATCATTAACAAGTGATCCATTTTTTTTTTTTTTTTTTTTTTAGCATTTCTTAAACATTCTTGCGTCACGGCTTTTCCAGTTGGCGAGCAAGAAGTGTATTATTAATATTTTAAAAAGGAAAAACAATAAAAACTGAAATTGATCGAGCAACACTGATTATGATTATAGAAAGAAGCTAATAGCACTTTCAGATAAACAAAAAAAAATGAGGTTAGAATTGAATTAACACTTTTTCCTTGGAACTCCGATAAAAAGATCACAAAAAAATCTTTTGGCAACCTCCAGTAATTGTGTGAACAACACATGAACAAAATGTAATTAGCGATTGTGATAATAACAATTTAAAACGTGTTAATAAGAATGAACGATATTGATTTATTTTCCCGCCTTCTAAAGTATCGCACGGGGTGGGGAGGGGGTAGCGTTAATTGTGGAAATGAGCCAATCAATTAACTTTACGCTCCGTATTGAGACATGCTGAAGCGGGTAAGTCATAAGGCGTCATTTTTATGAGCCGGAACAAGAACAAACTTGATCGCTAATTGCTCATTTCAGAACTGATGCAATTTCTAGAGAAAAATACATTCGTTGTTTGGTTAATCTGAATTGCTTCAGTGAAAAACTTCATATATGTATGTTTCCCACTCTCCCTCTTCCCTTCTCTTCTCTCACTCTTTCTCTCTCTATATATATATACACACACACACACATGTGTGTGTGTCCCTCACTCTCTTCTCTTTCTTCTCTCTCTATACATATTTCTATATATATCTATATATATATATATATATATATATATATATATATATATATATGTATAGGGAGCTGCACAAGTAGGTATACAGTATGTTTATATCTAATCTCTCTCTCTCTATATATATATATATGTGTGTGTGTGTGTGTGTGTGCAATACATTATTTTATAATAAACATATTTTGTTATTTATTTGTATGCACACGTATATAAGATTGTGTATATGCATATTTAGGACGATAGACACCTTTTTTAAATTATATATATATATATATATATATATATATATATATATATATATATATATATATATATTATCAATTCACCCCATGCAAGGCGATAATGCCACTAAAACGCAATGGGCTACTGGGAGTGAAAGAGAATGTAGCGATTTTAGAAGGAACACGAAATCCGATCCTAAACAAGGAGCAAGGGATAAACCTTTACTCCTGTTCAAAAGACTGGGAGGGGCTTTTTGAACAGGAGTAGAGGAATGTATATATATATATATATATATATATATATATATATATATATATATATATATATATATACACACACACACACACACACACACACACACACACATATATATATATATATATTATGATTGTTAAATATATATATAAAAAAATATATATATATATATATATTATGATTATTAAATATATGTATTATGATTATTCAAATCCCCAATTTTCTATCACCTATATCACGTCACAATTGTGGTTCACGTCGACATTCCAGGCAGAATAGTGAAATGGCTTGCTGGTTTTCCGGGGATGCTGAGGTTGCCCTATTCCTCCTCTCAGAAATTAAAGGGGCATCAACTACAAATCAGATTGTGGTTTGAATTCAAAGTTTTGAAAGTATTATTATTACCCTAAAATCATAATAAAATATATTTTAATATATATGAAACTTATTCTAGTTAGCCACCAATAAAAGATAGCTTTCTTGTAATAGTAGTAGTATTATGAAGAATACGTTTAGTAGTAGTCGTCATATTGTGGAGATAAGGTTAGTTATACTCAGTGTAGTAGTAGTAGTAGTAATGGTTCTTGAAGTAGTAGTAGTAGTCGTAGTAGTAGTCTACTTGTAGTAATAGTAGTAGTAGTACTCTGATATTTCTAATATATTAGATTGTATTTAAAGAGTAAATATTAAATATTATCTCGCTCAATGAATATCAATTGGTCAAACAAAAAATAATCAAGTTATTCCACTGTTTCGCAACTGGTGTCTTCCGGAAACTTAGGGTTCCTCAAGAGGTCGTTACAGGTCGCGCGACAAAGAGTGATGAATAGGGTTATGCGTTTTTGAGTCAGTTTTTTTTTAATTAGTAATGGATAGCGACTCGGATTGAGGAATCAGAGAGCCGAGTTCGAATTCCAGTCGAATTCATTACATTCACTTACATGCTAAATACCCTTGGGAACGATATGAATCCTCTTCTTCTCTCTCTCCCCCGGCTATGGGTAAATAGCAGGACAGACCGGGTTTTATAGCCTTGGATGGCAACTGGTCTACCGCAGAAAGAAATGGCAACCTAATGTGTGAAGAAAAAATCTGCCTCGTCAGTCATGTATCGAAAGATACATGATCGCCTACGCGTGTATCACGCATGGCACATAACTGACTGACTGAATTTTATCATACGCGTAAGGCATATTGTTGGAAAAGACTTGGTTATTATAATAAAGACTTCATTTTACTTAAAATTATAATAAATCATAGGGAATGTATTTAGCAATGTCTGTATGGTGTCAATGTGAAACTGGTTAATGGACAGAATCTTTACGTGTCGGAGGCTCAATCGTGTACAGGACGCATGCGCGGTGTCTGAATATTACGTTTACCGCGCGAACTACGATAAACGTAGAAAGAAGATAAATATTAATAATGGTTTATAGTAATTGTCATGCAGGGGTTCCCCTGAGACACGATAAATATTTCAAGGGTTCCACAAGGATAAAAAAAAGGTTGAGAAACGCTATACCAGGGTATGGCATCAATAAAAATTTTTCTTTTGTTGTTGTTGAAATTTTGAAACTTTCCTTGATGCATTCCATTTCATTTTATTTTTCTTCATTCCAATTTTTCCTCCTCAAAAAAGACATTTCTTTAAAAAGGGTTTAAAGATCACATTTAATGACGTTATTATCCGAGAGAGCCTCGCTTTCAAGTCAAACTCAGGTCACTTCTTGTCTCCCGAGTTTCCACTTGAAAAAAAAAAAAATAAAATAAATTGCAATATCTTTTTTTACATTTTGGTAAAAATGTTCTTTCATTTCATAAGTTGAATTCGCTTTCATCTGTTCTGAATTTTTTTTTCTTCCTATATCCTAGATTTTAGTTTTAATTTTTAATCAATTTTTAATCTACAAAACATTTGTGCATACCTCCGATTTAATTGAGTGACATGAAAATGTATTTTATGCACAAGGCTTTGCACCTTGAGAACAGTGTAAGTCCTTGGTCAAGGATGAAAGGAAAACTTTTTCAGTTTTTAATAAAATCAATTAGATTCAATAAAGTTAAAAATGACGAAGAATTAGAAGCCACCCCACAAAAAAGATTAATGATGGGGAAAAAAGAAGAAAAAGTGTAGAAT